GGATGGGGGGGATCGGGACCGGGACAGGGACAGAGATAGGGACAGGGACAGGTCATCCAAGAAGGTTCGGCCTCCCAAGGAGTCAGCGCCCTCCTCGGGGCCCCCACCAAAGCCACCGGTCAGCAGTGGCTCGGGCTCATCCTCCTCCTCATGCTCCTCTTCCTCCCGGAAGGTGAAACTGCAGTCCAAGGTGGCGGTGCTGATCCGCGAGGGCGTCAGCAGTACCACGCCTGCCAAGGAGGCCGCGTCGGCCGGCCTGGGCTCCATCGGGGTCAAATTCAGCCGAGACCGGGAGAGCCGCTCCCCGTTCCTCAAGCCCGATGAGCGGGCCCCCGCTGAGGTGGCCAAAGCAGCTCCGGGCAGCACCAAGCCCAAAAAGACCAAGGTCAAGGCCAAGGCTGGGGCCAAGAAAGCCAAGGGGACCAAGGGAAAGACCAAGCCATCCAAGACCAGGAAAAAGATCCGCAGCGGGGGCAGCAGCGGGGGCAGCGGTGGCCCTGTGATGCTAAAGAAGTCCAAGGCGGACAGCTGCAGCCAGGCAGCAGGGGCCAAGGGGGTGGAGGAGACCTCCTGGTCCGGGGAAGAGCGGGCAGCCAAGGCCCCCAGCACCCCGCCCCCTAAGGCAGCCCCTCCGCCGCCCGCGCTCACACCGGACTCGCAGACCGTGGATAGCAGCTGCAAGACGCCCGAGGTCTCCTTCCTTCCTGAAGAGGCCGCTGAGGAGGCTGGAGTCCGAGGTGGGGCCGAAGAGGAAGAGGAGGAGGAGGAAGAGGAGGAGGAGGAGGAGGAGGAGGAGGAACAGCAGCCTGCCACCACCACAGCCACCAGCACGGCTGCAGCTGCGCCAAGCACTGCCCCTAGCGCGGGGTCCACGGCCGGTGACTCGGGGGCGGAGGATGGGCCAGCCACCCGTGTCTCCCAGCTGCCCACGCTGCCCCCGCCCATGCCCTGGAACCTGCCTGCTGGTGTGGACTGCACCACCAGCGGCGTCCTGGCCCGTGAGTGTGCTCTGGGGCTGGGGGGTGCAGACAGGACTGAGAGGTGGAGGTCCTAGGGGGTCAGACTTGGAGGCAGTGGGGATGCCCTGGACGGGGTTGGTGCGCAGTGTCCCAGACAGTGAGGGGCTGGGGTGGGTGAGGGCTCGATCAGGGTCTGTCCAGGAGGCTCACTGATGTCTGGGTATGCCGGAAGAGAGCAGGCGGGTGAGCGCGGGGTGGCCAGCCTGGCGCAGACCGGGGGCCGCCTGCAAGTGGCCTGGGATAGCTGTGGAGGGACCAGAGAGAAGACGGGGGTGGGGGGGGCAGCAGTGTCCCTCGGGGGATGGCGATATGCCACAGGGAGCTTGAGACGGAATCTCGCCTCTGCCACCACCTTGTCCCCAAGTAACCTGGCCATATTGCCCCCGACCACATGCGTACCTTAAGTCCTAAGTAAGAACAGGGTGGGGGGGTTGCGGAGTGGCTCTCTCAGGGGCCGAGGCCCCCTTTTCCCAGCTCTGAGCCCGAGACCCATGGCCTCTCTAGGGGTCCGGGTGGGAGGGGGCAGCAGGTGGCCAGGTGTCGCTCACCGGCCCCTCTTGTGTCAAATCCTGATGTCCTTGTCCTCGACTGTCTGCCCCTTGCAGTGACTGCACTTCTCTTCAAGATGGAAGAAGCCAATCTGGCGAGCCGAGCAAAGGCCCAGGAACTGATCCAGGCCACCAACCAGGTGGGCTCCCCTGGGGAAGAGTCCCCACAGTCCCTTCTCTTGTGCCCTGACTCTGGTCAGGAGAGGAACTGCACTTCCCAGCGGGCCTTCGGACAAGGAAGGGATTGGCCGGAAGAGGAGCCTCTGGCCCCTGGGACTATTGGGAAACCAGGGTGGGAATGATGGAGGTGCGTGGTCCCTCTTCCCCTCCCCCTCCCTTTGTTCATGTTCTCTCCAACCTCTTCCCACAGATCCTCAGCCACCGAAAGCCGCCCTCTAGTCTGGGGGTGACCCCAGCTCCTGTGCCCACCTCTCTGGGTCTGCCTCCTGGTCCCTCTAGCTACCTGCTCCCTGGCAGCCTCCCCCTGGGGGGCTGCGGCTCGACCCCTCCCACTCCCACCGGGCTGGCTGCAGCGTCTGACAAGCGAGAGGGCAGCAGCAGCTCCGAGGGACGGGGAGACACAGACAAGGTGAGCTGGGCTTGGGGGCGGTGGGTGGCTGGTGGCAGCTTTGCAGAGAACGGGAATGGATGCTGAGACACGGGGGCCCAAGGAGGACAGGAGACTGATGCCCACAGGCGGGAACTTAGATCATACCAAAGTCATTAAAATGTAAGGAGCTCGGCTTTCCCTCACACGGATGAGTGGGAGATGGGCGCTGGGTAGATTTTTTTCCCCCATTACGTGCGCAGAGAGAGGGTGAGGGAGGTACAAAAGCACGACGACGTAAACACACCCACGTGCCGACACGCGTCCGGACGACTGTGTACTTCGTGGTCACTCGTGTCCCTCCTTCCCTCCCCATCCTTTCGTGTGAGAGGGAGGATGGTTTAAGAAAGGAAAGTCAGGCATCTGTTGGAGGGCAGGAGTGGGTGCCGGGCAGATTTGGACAGGTTTTTCCTCAGCTGCACTTGGCTCCTGCTCGGGAGGCCTCAGGGCGGTTTTCCTTCCGGTCATGTCTGCATGTTTTCCATCCTGGTCCGACAGCCCGTGGCCCACCTCTCATTTCATGTCCCTTTTTTTTTTTTTTTTTTTTAAAGATTTTATTTATTTATTTGACAGAGAGATCACAAGCAGGCAGAGAGGCAGGCAGAGAGAGAGGAGGAAGCAGGCTCCCTGCTGAGCAGAGAGCTTGATTCGGGGGCTCAATCCCAGGACTCTGGGATCATGACCTTAGCCGAAGGCAGCGGCTTAACCCACTGAGCCACCCAGGCGCCCTCATGTCCATTTTGTGCGGGCAGTGGACGTGTGGGTCCTGGTCCAGGGCCACTGGGAGGGCCCGGGGTCCGGCCTGGTGGAGGCCCAGCCTGGCCTGCGGTCGGGGGTGACGGCAGCGAGGGGAGTGCAGGGCTGAGGCTGAGCCAGCAGGCAGGGGAGGGGAGGCTGGGGCTTCCGCAGGAACTCATTTGGCCTCTGCTGTCCCTTCTTCCTGCTCTGTCCCCGCCTCTGCCAGTATTTGAAGAAGCTGCACACGCAGGAGCGGGCAGTGGAGGAGGTGAAGCTGGCCATCAAGCCGTACTATCAGAAGAAGGACATCACCAAGGAGGAGTACAAGGACATCCTGCGGAAGGCTGTCCACAAGGTGGGGCCCGGAGGCGAACAGGTACACCGAGGTGGGGAGAGGAGGAGGAGGAGAGGCGGACACGTGCAGACAGATGTTACCCAGACGGGGAGCTGGGAGGGGTCCGTCTGTCCGGAAGGTGAGGAGCGGGATGGGATTTGCTCAAGCCCGCCAGGGCCTGGCCTGCTGGTGGCAGGGCTACAGGTAGGGGTGTTAGCCTGGAACTGGGGGCAGCAGCTCCCATCCTAGTTGCCAGCTGTGCTCAGCAGTCCAGGTGGCAGGGACCCCGGTGGTCTGGCAGTGACCACAGCTGCCCCTCACTGCCTAGATCTGCCACAGCAAAAGCGGGGAGATCAACCCGGTGAAGGTGAGCAACTTGGTGCGGGCCTACGTCCAGCGCTACCGCTACTTTCGCAAGCACGGCCGCAAGCCAGGCGACCCCCCTGGGCCCCCGCGGCCGCCCAAGGAGCCCGGGCCCCCTGACAAGGGTGGCCCAGGCCTGCCCTTGCCCCCTCTCTGAGACCCTCAGCCACCCCTTCCCTCCTTCGCCTCTTTGGAATTCTGGACGTATTTATGGCTCCACCTCCCCACTTCCCTCCCCCCATCAGTGGGATGACTGGGGGAGGGTTGCTGCAGGGAAGAGGAGAGCCCCCTGCCCCGCCCCGCCCTGTGCCCCTTGCCCCCAAGCCTGTCCCCATCGCCCCTCCCTTCTGTTTGTGTCCCTCCCCCAATTTCATTAAAGATTTCATGAAATGTTAGCCCCAAGCCCCATGATTTCAGCCCTTTCTTTTCAGAGACCAGTCTGGGAAAGGGCTGGGAAAAGATACACAGGTGGTCTGGCCTATGCCCGAGGGTGGCTAGCCGGGTGTAACTCAGGCGGAGTGCATTCGCCTCTCTGGGCCTCAGTGTCCTGATCTTTGACATGGGTGTTGGAAGGAGGAAGACCCAGGCAAATGAAGCACTTATCGCACCCCTGGTACATAGTCAGCTGCTACTTTTTTTTTTTTTTTTCTTTTTAAAATTTATTTGACAGAGAGAGAGATCATAAGTAGGCAGAGAGGCAGGCAGAGAGAGAGAGGGAAGCAGACTCCCTGCTGAGCAGAGAGCTTGATGCAGGGCTGATCCCAGGACCCCGAGATTATGACCTGAGCCGAAGGTAGAGGCTTAACCGCTGAGCCACCCAGGTGCTCCTCAGCCACTGCTCTTGACAGAAAGTGGCAGTGGGTGGGAGGTTGGGGTCCCAGGTCCCACCTGCTCGGTGTCTTCCAAGCTCGGGGCACCTGGGTGCTATCAGTCTGCCCTGGAATTGCCCCAGCAATAGGACCTTTGTCCCCCATTGAATTGGATGCTCTTTTTACCAGTCCTCCGAGGCTGCAGTGATCTTATCCATTCTCCTGCAGTAGAGAGGGAAACTGAGGCACAGAGCAGCAGGGGCCACAGAATGAGTCAGGGCCACACTGGCCTCCATCAGTCCCCGCTGGGGTGGGCAGGCTTTAAGGCTAAAGCCCAGAACTTCTCTAGAACTGCCTGTTCCAACCCAGTGTGGAGCGGGGCTCAGGGCCTGGAAGGGAGGACTTGCCCGAGGTCGCCCAGCACGAGCTACGGGGGGACCTAAGGCCCCCGCCCCCAGCTGACAGGATGATCCAGGTGAAAGGTTCTTTGCTAACTGGACAGTGGCCTGAACTGTTCATAGACAAGACAGGGGTCCTAGATTCTGCCCCAGGGCCCCCCTTGGAGAGCAGCTCCCCTGGAGTCAGACTGGATTCTAACCCATCTTGTGTTTCTTGCTTTGTGACCCTTGCTTTTCTCCAAGCATCAGTGTCTTGGTCTGTAAAATGGGGGTGACTATCCCCTCCTCACCAGGTCCAGGGAAGAGGTAAGGAGGTGACAGGTATCAACTGCCCCCTGTACAGTGTCTGTCCTCATGCAGAGAGCATCTGGGGTGGGAGTTGCTTGCACAGATGGGTACGCTGAGGCCCTAAGAAGGAATAACGCCCAGTCTAGGTCAGGGCTACCCTGGACCTAGCTGACACCCAGCTGACACCCAACACCAGGCACACACGTGGTGACAGTGGCAAGAAATAGTTTATTGGCCGAGGTGAAGGCACGAGGGGGCAGCACCCGTGAGGAGTGAGGGATCAGACCTCCCCCGTGGCCTAGAAATCCATGTCCTCGACCAGGTCCTGGAGGTAGGCCTTGTACTGCTCTGATGTGAGAGAGAGTGGGTAACTGTTGGAAATGTGCAGGTCCACAGTGTTCTCCAGTGAGGAAGCACCCTCTGATCGTGCCATGTCCAGCAGGGCCCTCAGGCATGTGGGAACAACCTGCAGGAGGTGGGGGGAGAAACAGGAGTCAGGGGAAACACTCAATACAGTTTACTGTCAAGGGTGGGCTTGGAAAACTACAACTCCCAGCAGCGCCCACTGTCACCCAGGATGAATCAGTAGGCCCAGGGCTGCTGGGAGTTGTAGTTTCCCCCCATAACCACAACCACCAGTGGTCTGAGAAGTTTCCTAGGGCTGAAATGCTGGAGGGGTTCCCAGAAGCTAGGGCGGGGCAGCTTGTGGTCAGGACTCCGAGGCACTGTAGTTCCTCACAGAGGCTGCTAGGACCGACTTCCACATGGTTTTCAGAGTTCAAAACAGGTTCTGGGGGTGAGGCCAGGAGAGGGACACCCAGAAGCTCCTGAGGATGAGGAACTGGTGGTTGCAGAGACTCTTGGAAGTTGTAGTTCCTCAGAGGGCTTCTGGGAGTTGTAGTTCCTCCTCCCTTCCTTAAGATCCACCCCTTAGCTCCAGAAGCCCAGGACTGCAGCACCTTGACCATCACGAGCTTCTTGGTCCACGGCTGGTCCTGGGGCCATGGCTCCCCCATGCAGAACCAGAGGGTGTAGCGTGGTGAGTGTCGGCTTCCTTCGAGGAAGGCAATCAGACCTGGAGGCCGGAGATCCTAGTCAGGCATGGGAGGAGGACCCTCCACCACCTGCCCCTCCCTGCCCCCCCCTCCCCCCCCCTCCGGCCTATCAGCCTCACCTTCTCCCCTGACCTGAAGCCTGACATACCTACAGCATGACCAGACGGCTGCTAATCTAGGAAGAGTTCCAGCACAATCTTAAATTTTTTTTTCCCTCCCATCGGGGTGGGGCTGGAAGCTCTGCACTGACCCCCCACCCCTGCCCTCATTTGGGATAGGAAGGAGTACACTCTCCGCAAGGGCTTCCCTGATTCTGGAGTACAAGGTGGCTGGCAGTTTCTGCTCTTTAACCCCCTAAGGCCACATTCTCCTGGTAGTAGCCACTAGCCACTGCGGCTATTTCTGTTTAAGTAGTAACTAATTAAAAGCAAACAGAGGAGTAGCTGGGTGGCTCAGTCATTAAGCAGCTGCCTTCAGCTCAGGTCGTGATCCTGGGGTCCTGGGATTGAGCCCTGCATCAGGCTGTCTGCTTGTGGCAAGCCTGCTTCCCCCTCTCCCATTCCCCCTACTTATATTCCCTCTCTCGCTGTTTCCCTGTCAAATGAATGAATAAAATCTTTTAAAAATAAAATAAAACTCCCTTCCTCAGTTGCACTGGCCTAAGTACTCAACAGCCACCTGTGGCTGGTGGACACCAGATGGGACAGTGCAAATCCAGAACATTTCCTTCACTGCAGACATATCTACCCAGTAACAAAGCCCTAAAGACTTGTCTCTCCTGCGTCTGTCTATCCACAAGAATAACTGGGAACAATGAGGACTACGGCAGCTAATTCCTCGAGCACCTTCTGCACACTGGGCCCTGTGCCTCCAGCAGCAGAGACCATCCTCGGGCAGATGCAGAGCAGCCCCATAGTTTGCCCCAGGTTATAGCAGAAGCAAAGCAGCAGGGCCTGAACTGGAACTTGGAAGTCTGGAGATTTGAAATCTATTTTTTTCTTTTAAAGAGAGGGACGGAGTGTGGCGGGGAAGGGCAGACAGAGAGAGAATCTTAAACAGGCTCCAAGCTGAGTGCAGAGCCCGACTCGGTGGCTTGATCTCACAACCATGAGATCAGGACCTGAGCCGAAATCAAGAGTCACTTAACCGACAGAGCCATCCAGGCGCCCCCAGAACCCAGAGTTCTTAACCACCATGACCTAGTCTTTCCACAGCAGAGTCAGAAGGCCTTGCCTCACTCACCTGACACGAAAGGCCGTAGGTCGAACACGTCTCCTTCCTCATCCTTGGGGACCTCACCACTGGGCCCGTGACTGCTGTCAGGGAGGAGCTCCTCGCCCAAGGCCCAGTACGTGTGGCAGTGGCCCAGCCTCCGGGCCCAGAGCCGCTGTCCTGCCCTGCACAGAGCTAGTCCCCCGCCCAGGCAGCTCAGCACACGCCTCACGTAGCCCAACACACCCCTGTCCGTCAGCCATACCCCAGGGTCTGGCAATATGATTGGCTGTCCAGGCAGTGTCCCGTCCCCTGCTTCTGATGCCACCAGCCGCAGGCCCCTCGGGCAGAAGACAGTCTGCTGGAAGACTTGGCGGCCCCGGTAGAAGGCAGTCACCTCGAACTCCCACTCTGAGTGGTGGCAGAAGTGACATGAAGGGGGAGTGAGACAGAGAGAGTATAAGGGGGCGTGGCGCCCCAGCCCCTTCTACCCCATACTTGGAACTCACCTTCCTCAGGCACCAAGAGCCGCCTCAGTGGGTTTTCCGGGGGCTCTGAGTTTGGGCAGGGAGGAGGGATGTCTACGGTGGGGCTCAGCAAGAACGGAGGGGTCTGTTCAGGGACCACAGCCAGGCTCGAGAGCCCCCCATCTGGGAATGGGGCCAAGGCCATGTCATTCAGTAACTCCTCTAGTATGTCTTCCTGGAGAGAAGAAAAAAGGATCTGGCATTTCCATAGCCCTTTCAAGAGACTTCATATGGACCAGGCTTTGGGATCAGGAGAGAAGTCAGACCTGAGCTTTGCCCTCAAGGGGCTTCCTGTGAGGAGGGTTTGGGGGAGGCAGGGAGACAACCATGGGCACAGAGAGCAAAATATGTGCTCTGGTATATGCTGGGTGCTACTGGGGCCCAAGGGGAGCAGCTAATTCCAGGTTCTGGCCCTGTGCAAGCAAGACCTGGGCAGAGAAGGCTGGACACAATTTCAGAGGGAACTTGCCCTGGCACAGACAGCAAGGTCAAGGGTAGGATGGTTCTGGGTTCCCAGGAGGCTGAGGGTACTCTAGCAACAGAAGCTATGAAATTCCGGGTAGGTGTCTGTGGGCCCTACATGCCTGGGGAAAGCTCTGAACTTTGTCCTGAGGGTGCTGGAAGCCATGGAAGGGTTCTGGGCAGGGGGACAGGGTCAGCTCGGGATCAGACGCGGAACAGCCCACAGGGCAGAAGATGGACGCTCAGGAGGAAGACTGGGGTGATGGTCCGGGGGAGAAGAGGATGCCTGAACAAGGCAGTGGGGAGACAGACAGTAGATGGGTCAGATGGGGCGGGAGGGCTGGGGTGCATTCTCACCTGGGTAGCCAAGGTACTGCATCCACCATTGGTCCCCGGTGATGTGTCCGACTCAGGAAAGTTCCCAGCTCCTGACAAGGAAGATGGTGAGTAGAGCAGGGTGTTGGGGACACTCAAAATCCCACCCTCTCCATGTGAAGCCCCACTCTGGCACACCTGAGATCACAAACTCATAGACCTTGTGCGGGTCGTGGGGGTCCTTGCTCCTATCCTCGGCTAAACGCAGCCCCTCCTTCCGGTTCAGGGCGGATCGGAAATTCCTCTTCCAGGTGGGCAGATCAGGTTTATCCTTTCCGGGAGTGTAGGCACCGCTGGCCTCGGCCCACGCCTGGGGAGCCAGTGGGTACCAGGATAGTGAGGAGGATGACCAAGACCCCAAGTGTTCTCTCCCCTGGCACGTTCTAACTCGGCAAGGAACCAACCCCAAATTCTTGGATTCTCTGCATCCTAAGGCCCCCTATCTTCTTTTGAAAAGCTTTGCTTTCTAAGCCAGCCTTCCAGGTCCTACTGGGTGTCTCAACTCTGCCACCAACCTAACCCAGAACACCTTCTGTAATAACCCGCCCCTCGCACTCCAACTCGGGTTACCACCACTGGTGTATCCTAATTTGATGAGAAATCACCTCAGCTTCCTGGCCAAGCCTTGCCTCTAGGGTTCCGAGACCCATCCCCAGAATTCTACGACCAAGACCCCGCCCTCTGCGAGTCCTGAATGCTCCCTTTGCATTCCTTTCGAGGAATGCAAAAACCCAGTTTTTCTGGTTCTTTTTCCGGAACCTGGCCCCTCCAACCTTGCTAGTCCGCTGATCCTACTAAGCCTGCCCAGTCTCGTCCTAACTCCACCTACCTCCACCTGCCAGCGTCAGCGCCTGCCAGCTGCAAGCGTGCTAACCCCCGCTTCCTCGGCTCCGCCCCCTGCTAGTCCCCCCTCCTCCCCGCGGTTATCTCAGGGTTCCCGATGTTCCGGAAGCTCACGCACCTGGAAGATGCCGAAGTCTTCTTGCTGGGCATCCTGCCGCAAGCCGTGCTTCCAAGGGATGCGGAAGCGTGTGCGGCTCTCGTCCAGCCAGGCCACCCCCTCCAGCTGCCCCAGGTCCAGCTGCGACACAAGCCAGGGCAGGATCCGCGGCTTTGGGGTTCCCATGGTCCGGCCTGCGCTTAGAGGGCAGTTCGTGGGCGCGGACGGCCTCCCTCTTCTTTCCCCACCTTCTTCTGTGCAGGCCCCCTACCTCCCCAATTCCGCCAGTGTAGATCCCTCCCTCTTCCGCGGTAAACCCTTTTCTCCTTTCCCCTCCCCCACATCACCCAATGCAGTTAACACCACTTCCAAGTTAGAGAACCTCCCCTAGTTATGCCAGGGCAGACGTTATTCACTTGTAGATCTCTACCTCCTGCACTTAACCGTGTTGTAGACCCCTTCTACAAACTGCCCCACGGAAGAGCCGCTCAGCCATTTCCACCCTAGACCGTCCATCCACCCCACCCCAAACACAGCCTGGCTCTTCTAGGGCGCCCGCGCGCGCACACACACACACACACACACACACTTTATAGGGTGGACTGCCTCCCATTTTCAGGGTCCACTCTTCTCTCCCTTAGATCCCCCAGTGAGGACGCCTGCCTTTCCCACCCTCCCCGCTACTTTTTCCTGTTGTTGTTGCTGTTATGTTGTTTTTACAGCCGACCTCCAGCACCGGTCATTGTTTCACTTTGTCCCCTGGCTGCTTCACTTTCCCGAGTACACAGTGCCTCCTCTAGACTCTCAGGGGAGACCCGTTTTTTTCTCGCGCTTCTCGGTCCGGACGCCACCAATTCCCCAGATCCGCCGTTACCTACGTGAAGAGTCGGGGGCGCAAAGTGCTAGGACCCACCCCTGCTTTTGGGGGTCCGATAGTTCTCGAACTTGTAGCTGCACACCCTCCTTTCTGCCAGCTGAGCTTCAGAGCAATGCGGTTTTCTTTTCTATCGATTTCACGAAATAAAAACTTCAACTGCGGTCGGTCTACTGACTTCAGAGCCAAAGAGGCGGCACCAAGAGCCCGGACGGCACGCCCGCCCCCCCGTCAATGCCCTTTTTAGGCCTTCTGGCCAACGGCATGCTGGGAACGTCTCATGCAAATTAGATGTGCCCCAGCGCTCCGCCTCTCCTACAATAGGGCCGTCACCAACCCGGCCCAGTGCGCAGGCGCGGGAAAGTTGAACTAAGAGAAGTTTATGCAAGTTCAGTGAAGGAGGAGGGGGCGGCGGCTCCCGCCCCAGGTAAGCCTGGCTTTTGGGAGGGCTGGGGTGAGAAGGGAAGAGGCCGGGATCTCGAAGCCGGCACCTCAGTCCCCCTTCTCCGACATCCATGCGCCCGAGACCCCAAGATTCCAGCCTGGGTCGGATAAGGGAACTACACCTCCCAAGGAGGCTGCGCGGCGAGCCAAGTGCGGATAGAGGGGAAGGTTTGTCATGAAGCCTGCTGGGATTCGTAGTTCCCGATTCTCTAAAAGCTCGAGCCCCTTGGCATATGCCTTCAGAATCCAGAAGTCGGAGTCCCGAGTCCCCTTTTCTGTCAGACTCAAAAATTCAGATTCCCCCAGCCCACTTCTCCGAAAACTTGAGTCCAGCCCCCAGTCCCTTTCTCTCTTAGACCCAGGAATCCGGGTCCCCAGCCTCTTCCTCTCCAAGGATCAAGGAGTCTTCGTCCTCCTCCCTCTTCTCCCTCCGAGGACTCTAGAGTCTCGGTCCCCAGACTCTAACTCCTCTAAAGGACTTAGGAGTTAAAGCTCTCAGCTCTTTCTTCCCTTGGGGACTCACAGGTCCCGGCCTCCTCCTTATTCAGGGACGAGGCATTTGGGCCCCCATCCTCCACCTCAGGTCAACCCTGGAGACCATCCCCCAGCTCCCTCTTTCACAGGTGCCCCCATGGCAGGCTCGGAAGAGCTGGGCCTCCGGGAGGACACGGTGAGAGTCCTAGCTGCCTTCTTTAGGCGAGGTGAGGCTGCCGGGTCCCCCATTCCAATCCCACCCAGGTAAGAGGAGTTGCCCTCCTCCCTCAGGGGCCTGCATCTGGGGTGGGGCCCTCTTGACTCTTGTGCCTTGTCTCTGTGTTCCCCTCTCTTTATATCTGGCTCTTTTCCTTGTCCCTGGGGTTGCACCAAGAGGCCCTCAGTGGGAGGAAAAAGGGACTGCTTGCAAAGGGGACTCTGGGGTCACTCTCTGAGGTCCCCTTTCCCAGGAGTCCTGCCCAGGAGGAGCCAACAGATTTCCTGAGCCGCCTTCGACGATGTCTTCCCTGCCCCCTGGGTCGAGGAGCAGTTCCCCCTGAATCCCCTCGGCCTTGCTCCCTGCCCCTCCGCCCATGCTATGTTTCAGAGCCTGGTAAGAGATTTCCCTAGATCACCCATGAACCGGTAGGGCCAGAAGCTTTGTTTGTTGTTGTTGTTGTTTTTAAGAAGCTTTGATTCTTTAAAGCATAGAAAGGATAAGGAACTAGCCCAAGATCACTCAGCTAAGATGGGAGCTGAGTGGGAACTACTCTCACATTCTCTGCTCCCCCACCCCCTGTTACATTCTGTGAACTGGCTTCCCAAGGGGGCTTTTGGTCCCTTTCTGTTTGTTATCTCTCTCCTCCCATGCATCCTTCTCTACCGCTGGGACTTTGTAGCCTCCAGTACCAGCAGTAGGGAGGAAGGAGACCTGGTTTTCAGTCACATCTCCCTGGCTGTTTGGCTACATGAGTCTGGGAAATTTCTTTTGTTTCTTGCTCCTATATTTCTCCAGAAGCAAAGTAGGAATGTGTGCATGTGTGTGGAGGGGTGTCTTTGGGCATGGTCAAGAGTAACCATGTGGGTTACTCATGTGGGAGCCTTGATAGACTAGTAATGGCTACCAGCAGTGCTTACTTGAAAGGGATTTCACAGCTGGGGAAGAAGAGTTCTGTGATCAGTTGATGACGCCTGAAACCAGCAAGGGGTAGGTAGGGTGGTAATCGCGGGAGTGCCCTGCGTTTGCCTGTCCTGGATAGAATCATCTTCAAGGTCTAGTTTGGCTATAACATTCTAAGTCTAGTTTGGGGGACACAGTAAAATGGGAAGTACCAAGTCCTTTTACCAAGTGTGCTCAGTGGGTCTCAGTTTACCCCACTATGAAATGGAAATCATTGCAACCTGGCAAGATGGTTGGGACAAGGAGAGAATCCATAACTTCTCGATGTCCCAGAGACCCATCATTGGCTCTTTTGACCCCAGGCCCAGCAACTCCAGATTTCTATGCTCTGGTGGCCCAGCGCCTGGAACAACTAGTCCAAGAGCAACTGAGATCCCCACCTAGCCCAGGTGAGGGACCAAGGGGCCCCGGACGGAGAAGGATGAGGGCAGAAGGGTGGGCAGGGTTCTGCCCCCAGCTGATTCTCTTTTGCCCTCCACACACACCCCCAGAGTTACAGGGAGCCCCACCCACAGAGAAGGAAGCCCTACTGCGGAAGCTGGTGGCCTTGCTGGAGGAAGAGGCAGAAGTCATCAATCAGAAGGTGACAAGGCTGTCTGTTCCATCCCTTAGCTGGGATGGGGATTGCGGGATGGCTGGGCGCTGGGATCAGAACCTGGATCTGCATTCTCATTAGATGGTCAGGTGAGGAGAGGGTGGGTCTCCGCTTCTATGAAGGGTTTGTAACGGGGTTCAAGCCCATTCTGCTCCCAGCACCACAGGCCAGTGAGCTGAGAGCTAAGATGTTGGGGTAAGGAAAGCGAGTTTATTTGGAAAGGCAGCACACCGAGGAGATGGCATACAACTGTCTCAAAGAACCGTCTCCCCCAGCCTGAGATCTGAGCTGCTTTTATGTTAGGAAGGGGAAGGGGATGGGGATTGGAGTCAAAAAGTGGCTGCCGTCTATAGACAACAGAGGAAGGTTGTGTAACTTCTTTTGTCCTTGGTCAGTTTTTTCTTTCGAGAGGTTTTATTTATTGATTAGAGATATTATTTCTTTATTTGAGAGAGAGAGAGCATGAGCAGGGTGAGGGTGGGGAGGGCAGAGGGAGAGAGAGAAGCGGACTCCCGGCTCAGCGGGGAGCCCGACATGGGGCTCCATTCCAGGACGCTGGGATCACGACCTGAGCGGAAGGCAGACCCTTAACCGACTGAGCCACCCCCGCGCCCTATCCTTGGTCAGTTGATCTTTGTGTACAGGTCATGTCGTTCCTGTAAATCTTACATAGAGCGTCGTCATTTCTGTAAGGACTTCCTTATCTCCTCCGGTGAGGTAGATTTCCCGTAAAAGAGCCGTTTTTGTGGATCTTAGCTGTAGTATGCCTACGTGCAGGGCTAAGCAGAAGTTTCTAAACTATAGGTCCCAGCAGTAAGGGAAATAGAAGCATTATGGGGTCAGACGTGCTAAGCTTCTCCGCTACTGGTTGTCCGCTACTGGTTGAATAAGGTCAGGGTAGTTTTGGATTCACAGTGAGAGGGGTGTGGCCTTTAGACAAGGGGTGTGGGCACCCGGAACGTGATCTGGGAAACTGGGACCAGTTGAGGAATTAGGGACTGTATGGTAGTGGGAAGGGAGTTTGTTCGGAGAGGGCTGTCTAAAATATGAAACCCTGTTTAGCTGTATAGGGGTATGCCTTGGAATGTGGGGGGAAATAGCAGCCGGAGGAGGTCTAGCTTATGATTCGTTCCTGGAACTTGATTGGCTCAGGAGCTTGGGGAAAGTGTATGATCCTATAATATTAATTGTACGGTGGAAGGTAGGGTTGTCGTAGGGACCGGCCTGGTTCCGGGGACTCTCAGGGAACCTCTAGGGGGCGTGGCTATAAGATCTGTATTCTAGAACTCAGCTAATTAGGGCTTTGGCCCTCATTGGCTGTCGGCCACCTTTCTAGGAGTAGTTTGGCGGAGACCTCAGATTCTGGTTTATGATTGGCTGGTGTGAGGGATGGGCGTGGCTTTGAGCTTCAGTGCTTTAACCAGGAAGTCACGCCTGGTAGCCTCCTATTGGCTGGCTGCGGGGGCGTGGCGGAGGCCGACCCAGTGTCTTCTCTTCCCCGCCCCACAGCTGGCCTCGGACCCGGCCCTGCGTGGAAAGCTGGCCCGCCTCTCCGCGGGCTCCTTCGCCCGCCTAGTGGAGCTGTTTTCCAACCGGGAGGACAGCCCTCTTCCTAGCCGCCCACGCCCCAACTTGCCCTGCCCTGGGCCTCCGCCGCCTTCCCCGGAGCCCCTGGCCCGTCTGGCCCTGGCCATGGAGCTGAGCCGCCGCGTGGCCCGGCTTGGGGGCACCCTGGCTGGACTCAGTGTGGAGCACGTGCACAGCTTCGGGCCCTGGATCCAGGCACACGGGGGCTGGGTGAGCTGCCAGAGCTTCTCTGGGCCCCCCTTTACCCAACTGTAACTTGTGTCTGTGTGGTGGGGTTGGGGGGTGGCTTCTTCGGCTTCTTTTCAGACATGACAGGTGTTCTCGCAGCCCAATCATTCAATTGTTTTGTGTTAATTGAGTACCAGCTGTACACCAGTAGGTAATCAATAAGGACCCTGTGTCCGGCTTAAACCATTCTGATACACACTGACAGTTACGAGTGGGAAACATGGGAGACCCCTTCCTGGGCCTCGGTTTCCTTTTTTTTTTTTTTTTTTTTAAGATTTTTTTTTATTCATGGACAGAGAGAGATCACAAGTAGGCAGAGAAGCAGGCAGAGAGAGAGGAGGGGGCGGGGAAGCAGGCTCCCTGCTGAGCAGAGAGCCCGATGCGGGACTTGATCCCAGGACCCTGAGATCATGACCCGAGCCGAAGGCAGAGGCTTAACCCACTGAGCCACCCAGGTGTCCCGGGCCTCGGTTTCCTTATCCGTCAGGTAGGGCAAGTAGAAGTACCCATCTTAAAGGGTTATTGTAAAGATTAAAATGGGACCATTGTAAGATCTTGGCACCCTGTGGGCATTTGCGTGATTATCTGGTGACTGTCTGCTCTGACACTGCCTGCCAGAATGCACTTGCCCAGGTATCCCCGTTTCACTTCCTCTGCTCCATTCGGGTGTCACCCTCCCGTGAGGCCTCCCCCTAGTCCCCGTTTGAAACCAGAGCCACCTCCATCCCCTCCCACCC